AGGAAAAGAGATGTTAAAGGGGGAAAGAGGAAAAGATGTTAAAGGGGGAAAGAGGAAAAGATGTTAAAGGGGGAAAGAGGAAAAGATGTTAAAGGGGGAAAGAGGAAAAGATGTTTAAGGGGGAAGAGGAAAAGAGACATTAAGGGGGGCAAAGATGTGATGGGAAGAGGAAAAAGATTGTAATGGGGGTACAAACGGTAACAGGGGGAGAAGAGGAAAAATAGATGACAATGTTGGGAAGAGATGTTGATGTCAAGGGGGAGAAGATGATTAATGGCATTAGAGGTGGGGGAGGAGGGGACACACAGGCCTGGGAGCAGCAGGACCCCCCCAGGTCTCACTGGGACGCTGCAGCCCCCCCAGCCCCTTACCAGGCAGTCGAGCTGGGAGATGGGGCTCTTGCTGCCGGGCTGGCTGATGTCCCAGATCTTGACGCAGCCCTTGCCGCCGGTGTAGACGTGCCGGGTGGGGTTGCTGATGGTGACGGCGCACACCACCTCGCCGTGGCTCAGCGTGTTGATCTGCCGCGCGTGCCGGGGGATGCCGGGCCCCGCCAGCGCGTCGTGCGGGAACGGCACCGGCTGCATCTGCCCGTCGGCGCTCACGTGGAACGAGTAGGCTCTGCCACGGGAGGGCACGGGGGGTCAGCCCAGAGGGGGAGGTTTCATGGGGGGCAGCGGGTGGCTTTGCGGCCCGGCTGCCACGCTGTGCCCCGACCGGGGGCTCGGCTGAACCCAGCCCCGGGCGAAGGATTCACCTCCCTCTCACCCACGCTGATCCCCCCTTCAAACCCATAAAAAAACCAAAAGGGGCTTACGGTTTCCCTCCGGGGATGGAGGCCAGGCTGGAGGGCAGGCCGGGGGCTCGCATGGGTGGGTGTGGGTCAAAACCAACCTGCCGAGAGACACACGGACACGGGTGAGGCCGGACACAAGCTGGGCACACCAAACACCTTCCCACCCACAAGCCCACGGGACACTGAGCAGCTCCCTCTTTTCCCTTGCTGCTCAAGAGCTAATTGTTATTATTCCCCTGGCAGAAGGGGGAAAACTTGAGGAATTAGCCAAAGGTTTTGGGGCTGCAAGGAGCAGGGTGGGACATGCTCCCCCTCCCCGTGCTGTCCCCAAATCCCCAGGAGCAGCCAAGTCGTGCTCAGCACTCTGGCTGCAGAAACCCCCATCTCTGCATTAATGGCAACGTTTCACTTCTTAGTTTGACTTGTTTTGCCTTAAAACATGGGATCAAGAATTTAGTGAGAGTAATGGGAAGGGGGCTGAGTAACTGGAAGGGAAGAACCCCAATGTAGGAGCACATGCACATTCCCCCACGGGGAGGCATCTCCACCCCCAGCCCCCTTTAACGGCAGCTGATATAGAAGACGGTTTGTTTTGAGGAGAAGGAGCCTCAATTTCCCAGTCCCCCCCAAACCCTCCCCAGCCCTCCCCACCGTTGAGAAAAGGAGCTAAAAGTGCTACGTACAGCTCCAAAGCTCACCATTGGTGACCGGCCGTAGGCGGCGGCGGCGGCGGCGGCCGCGCTCATCTGCGGGGGGAGGTTGTGCAGCCCCGCGTAGGCGCCGGGGCTGGTGAGGGACCCGTTCATCTCGTGGTGCCCCATCATGGCGAAGGGGGCGGCGTAGGAGCCCGCGATGGAGATGGGCGTGCGCAGGGCCGAGGCTGCGGGAGGGAGGGACACGGTCAGGGCGGGGAGCGCGGCCGCGTCCACGGGGTCAGCCGGGGGGGAAAGACCCCTGAGGTCACCCAGTCCAACCTGTGACCCATCACTGCCTTGCCCTCCCCAGCCCAGAGCACTGAGTGCCACGCCCAGTCATTCCCTGAACGCCTCCAGGGACGGGGACTCCACCACCTCCCTGGGCAGCCCCTTCCAATGAAGAAATTCATTGCTGTTTTTCAACCAGGGCCTTCCCTGGCACAGCTTGAAGCCACGTCACAGATCACAGAATATTCTGAGCTGGAAGGGACCCACGAGGATCATCAAGTCCAACTCTTCAGTGAATGGCCCGTGCAGGGACTGAAGCCACAATCTTCCTGTTACCAGCACCCGGCTCTGACCAACCGAGCTAATCCCACCTCATGTCCAGACATCCTCTCATCCCAGAGCTGCAATGGCTGGGCCTCCCTCCTCACCCCACCTCTGACACGGAGACCACCCCAGCCAGACCTGGATTAGGCCCCCCATAAACCTGTTCCCCCCCAGGCTGCTGTTTCCCATGGACAGGGATGAGCTGGAGCCGTGCTGGGGACAGCAGTGAGCCCGGGCTGGTACCCACCCAGGGGGTCCATGCCAGTGGGCTTGCCAGGCATGGGCCGCAGCCCCGGGGTGCTGCTGGTGCCCGGGGTGGGCGCGTCGTTCCGCGGCGTCGGAGTGTTCGACTTGAGCCCGGGCGTCGACGACTTGTCGTTCTGGGGGAGAAGGGATGGGAAACAAGGGATGAGGTCTGAGCCCCGGCACCCCCAGCCCCCAGTGAGCCCCGGCAGGGCGCGGGACGTACGTGGCCCAGGTCTTTAGTCTTGGAGGAGGGAGTGCTGCTGGAGGAGGCGACCGAGGCCGGGCTGTTGGGAGCGTCCCCCTTCTTCAGCCCGCGGGCTTTGTCCAGGCCGTTCTCCGGGGGTGAGTGGGCTGGGCTGACCCGGGGGGTGGCAGGATCCTGTGGGGCAGGAGAAAGCCTTGGAATCCCCTGTGGCTCCCTCCGGCTCCTCCATTCCAGGAGGCCCCTAAGGCATCGCCCCCAAACCCCCCTAGTGGCACGGGCAGAGGGGCAGATTTGCCCACAAGGACTCACCTCGTTGGAGACGTCGACCACCAGGTCATCGCTCTTGTCACCATCGCTGTCCTGGAACACAAAGCCAGTCACACCCCGCAGAGAGCCCCAAAAACTGGGGTGGGGGCACCCCCCTGAGGAGCTGAACCATCCCTCCACAGCACCAGGACACTTATGGGGGGTATTAGGGAAAATTTCTTCCCTGAAAGGGTGGTCAGGCATTGGAACAGGCTGCCCAGGGCAGCGGTGGAGTCCCCATCCCTAGAGGGATTTAAAAGCCATGTGGATGTGGCACTTGGGGACACTGTTAGTGGTGGCTTTGGCAGTGCTGGGGGACAGCGGGACTTGATTGTCTCAGAGGGCTTTTCCAACCTAACTGATTCCATGGTTCTATGACCCACACCATACCTGGAAAACGTCACCCAAACCCGCTGCCTCCCACCCCAGGTCCTGCCTGGTCGTGTCCCTGGGGCTCCCCGTGTCCCCTGTCACTCACATATCGGCTCATGCTGTCCTTCTCCTCCGCTTTCCGCTTCTTGGAGTCGATGCTGTAATCCGTGGAGCTCCGGTGCTTCTCGCTGGCTCTCAGGCTCTCCGAGGGCGACACGGAATTATTCTGCAATGCCACAAGAAGCTTTGAAGTTGGAAACAGAGGGAATTACGACTTTATGAGCAGCAGCTTAGAAGGTGCCACATACAGCCCTGCACCCGCAGCACGGTGAGACCCCGCGGCTCCCAAGGGAGCAGGGAACAGGATCCAGGTGACAGGATCGGACACCACCCTCACTGTGAGCCCTGGGAATGCTGTGAGGCTGCTCATGGACACCTGAACCCCTTCACTGCAAAAGCACAGCAGGAAAAATGGAGGAGGTGGTTGTTGCTAAAAAGGCAAACCCTGGGAGGGAGATGTGGGAAACTCCAGCAGCTCCCAGTCCTCACTGGGATCCACCAGTGGGAACTGGGGAGTGCAGAGTGGGGAAAAGCTGTGCTCCCTAAAATCAGCCCCATCTCCCTCATCCTGTGCTCCCCATGGGAGAACAGGAGCTTCACCCCAGCCCGGGGCAGGGGAAGGACTTTGCACAAGGGGTGGCACCATGGATGGGCATCAGCAGAGCTGGGGGGCCTCATCCAGGAGGAACAAAGGAACCGCTGCATCCCATTCCCAACATCAGCAGCTGAGCTCTGCCAAGCCAAGGGGCATCCAAAAAACATCCAGAAAAACCCACGTGACCAGGAGCACCACAGCCCAGGCTCCACAGGGATTCCCTGTTCAGGGGGACTTCTGTCCTTGCTTCGAGCAGCGAAGCCCAGGAGATCCAGCATTCCCAGGAAAGCCCCAGAGCCCATGGGTGCTTCCTCTGGCACCGGCAGAGCTGGGAGGCCTCATCCAGAAGGAACAAAGGAACTGCTGCATCCTGGCTCTGGCACCAGCAGCTGAGCCAAAGGACATCCACAAAATATCCCAGAAAACCCACGTGACCAGGAGCAGCAGAGCCCAGAGCCTGTGGGGGCTTCTGTCCCTGCTTCAAGCAGCAAAACCCGGGAGACGCCGACATTCCCAGGAAAGCCCTTTGAATGCTGGGAGCAAAAATGGCAGCACAAAACCACCTCACGAGCGCCAGAGGATGCCCGGCCCTGATCCCACATCCCCCCACGGCGCAGCCCCTTCCCCACATCCCAGCTTCCCTTGCCCTCAGTTCCCGGGAGCAGCAGGAGAAACCCCCCCGCCCTCCCCGAGCCTGCCAGCCCCGCTAAGCAGCAACGCTCCCTAAGCTGCTGTGCCTGCCTTTCTTCCCCGGCTGAAAGGGAGAACTAAAGCAGTTCATGTTTCTCCTCGGTCCCCAGTAAGCAGCTTTGGATAACACCGAGCTCTTTCTTCCCAGGCAGTCATGCTGAAAACCCTCGCAGCTCCCGGAGAATCATGTCAAGCATTTAGAGGCATCGATCCATTCAGCGCCGCCGCTGGCCCGGCGCCAAGGAACTAAATATTTTTTATTGCACAGGCAAAGGCTGGGGAAAATATGAATGACTAACGCTGATTACGGCGCATTAAACCTCCCCCGGGAACACCCCGGCTCCAGGCTTATGGATCGGGAACCTTCCCACCTCCGACGGCCCCCTGCCCGCCCGAGGAGCGGGTTAATGATGCCCAATTCCCCTCTCCCCCCTTAAATAGCACTTTCCTTCCCGCCCGCCTCCGGCTCTCAAAAGGCCCATTTGTGGGCTCGGGGATGGCAGGAAATCGCTGCAAAGCCGAGGCTCAGCCGGGCTTTGTCCTGGCAGCTTTTCACACGGAATCGCTGGGGTTGGGAAAGACCTCCGGGATCACCGAGTCCACCCTCTGCCTGGTGCCCACCTTGTCCCCCAGCCCACAGCACTGAGTGCCACGGCCAGGCCTTCCTTGGACACCTCCAGGGGTGGGGACTCCACCACCTCCCATTCCAGTGCTTGACAGCCCTTTCCATGAATCCCAGAATATGCTCAGTTGGGAGGGACCCACAGGGATCATGGAGTCCCAACTCCTGGCCCTGTACACAGGACCATTCCCAAGGGTCACACCATGTGGAGAAATTCCTTCTGATGTCTCATTTCCCTGAGCCAGAGGTGTTGTGTGCACCAGGGCTGGGGGGTCCAGTTGGGCCCCACTGCATGGGGAGGGCAGCTCCCCCCTCCATATCCTCACTGCCTCCCCATCCCTGCTCCAGGGAAACCAGAACCCACCCTGAGGCGTCAGGGACACAGACAGAGGCACAGGTGCCCTCCAAAATCCAGGGATTCAGGTGGTTTGGGAACTGCTTGACCCTCCAAGTCTGACTTAACATGGTGTAATAACCAAACCACCTCAGCAGGTGAGATGACCCAAGATAATGGGAGAGGGATCAGGAATAAAACAGCTGTCCCAGTAACTCAAAGGATTTTGGAGCCGACTGGGCTCACTCAAAACCCAACCATGAGGCTCTGCCACAAGCAAAGAGATTTAACCCAGACCTCAGAACCAGGTGACCCCACTCATCCCAGCACAGCTCTTCCAGGCAGGGTGGGAGCTTTGCACTGCCTGGTTTTTATTATTTAATAAGACCTGTGCAAAAGGCAGCCCCGGAGCTCCCACCTACAAAATGGGGTTTGAAGGGATAAAGAAAACAAAACCATGGAGCCACCAAAAACTGGGGGGGAAAGGAGGCAATGGGACTTACTGCACTTGAGTCTCGCTCTGTCAGGAGATGTCGGGGCAGAGGTGAGGTCACAGCCAAAATAAAGAGGAGACAGAGAAATAAAGCAAGTTAGAATTAAGTCTCAAACCAGAAAATAAACCAAGAAGCTCCTCATGCTCTTAACTCAAGCCCTATCTGGGCTCTCTCTGGCTTTAAAATCCCCCTGTTCACCCAGCCCCTGCTGCCTCCTGCCCCTTTCCTTTTGTCCCTGTGATTTATTTGGCAAAGCACAGCTGGAAATGCCCCGAATCCAAAGGGAACGGCAGCAGCCTCTGGTGCTTGTCCCCAAAGTCACAACCTCCGACAGTCCCGTCGGCAGCACAACGTGGTTCAGCCATTAATCTGTGCCCAACAGCCCCATTTTCCCTGGGATCTCCTGGCAATCTGAGTCCATGCAGGAAAAGGAACGTAACTGGATAAATTGCTTTGGATAATTTTGTCTCACTGTTTTCTCAGGGAGGAAAAACATCCCCAGGACCGCAGCAGAGCCCGACAGCTCAGAGGGGCTGTTGGTACCTGCCCTGCAAACGGGAATGAGGAAGAAATATCCCAAATCTTTCCATGTCTGGGGATAAGGGGATTTGCCAGGAAAATATTGAATACTGCTCATTTGCACCTGGAATCATACATTATTTTATCTTCTAAAAAGCTGTCTGATCACTAATAATTAGAAAAAAACCCTGAGTTTGGGGGTGAAGAGAGGAGGAGGAGGAGAAGGAAGACGAGGAGGAGGAGGAGGAGGAAGCTGCTTCCCCATTGAGGCACCACTGAACTGCAGCGAGACTTCAACAAAAGCTGAGCATCATTTAGGGAAAACTGCATCGCTAAAAGCACAATCCCATGGCCTGAAGCCCACAGTCCAGAGGGGTGGGGAGGTGGGAGCAGAGCTGTGTGTGGGTCAGGGTGCTGCCCCCAATATCAGAAGAATGTGGAGCTGCTGGAGAGAGTCCAGAGGAGGCCACAGACATGTTCCAAGGGCTGGAGCCCCTCTGCTCTGGAGCCAGGCTGGGAGAGCTGGAGGGGTTCAAATGGAGAAGAGAAGGATCCAGGGAGACCTGAGAGCCCCTGGCAGGGCCTAAAGGGGCTCCAGGAGAGCTGGAGAGGGACTGGGGACAAGGGATGGAGGGACAAGACAAGGGGAATGGCTTCCCACTGACACAGGGTTAGATGGATATTGGGAAGGAATTCCTGGCTGGGATGGTGGGGAGGCCCTGGCACAGGTTTCCCAGAGAAGCTGTGGCTGCCCCTGGATCCCTGGAAGTGTCCAAGGCCAGGCTGGACGTGGCTTGGAGCAACCTGGGCTAGTGGAAGGTGTCCCTGCCCATGGCAGGGGGTGAGACTGGATTTTAAGCTCCCTTCCCACCCACGCCATTCCAGGATGATTCCATGAGTTCCAGCACCAGTGGACGCAGAGAGGAGCAGCCCCCTGGCCCCTCGCTCTCACCTCTGTGGTCCAGGTCATGGTGGTTCTTCTCATCCTTGACAGCAAGGTGGGCCTGGCTGCCCAGGGCTCCGAGGGCCAGCAGCCCCGAGCTGGTGCCGGTGACCGGCGGGATTCCCGGCGGTTGGAGCCCCGAGGGATGTGGCGGCAGCTGGACCGGGGGCCCGTGGGCGGCGTGGGAGAGGTGCTGGGCCTGGAGCTGCTGCTGCTGCAATGAAAGGACCAGTGAGCCGGGGAGGGGCACTGGGGGGCACTGGGGGCACCGAGCGGTGCCGGGAAGGGACATTCCCGGTGTCCCGGGGTGATGTCCTGGGAGCGGCCCCGCTGGGACACCTGGAAGGAGAAGCCCCGTTAGCAGGAGGGACAGAGGGTGCCCAGGCACGATGCCCATGTCAGGAGTGCACACGTGGCACACCCGCCCCGGGATCGTCCCTCAGTCACAGGAACACGGCACTGCTGCAGACCTGGTTAGTTTGGGGTTTTCAGCAGGTAAAAGCAAAAAAGAAATACAGGAATCCCACCCAGAGTAGCCCTGGCCAGAGTGCAGAGGCCAAACCAGCCAGATAGAGAAAATTCCAGCAGCCAGGATCCTCCCAGACAGCTCAGGAAAGCAAGTTTTGCTAATTTACTCAGGACCAGCTTTAAGGTGTTTGAAGGGGAGAAGAAAATGCCCACATAGTGCCCCGGTCCCATCCCACCATCCTGTGCTCCCGACCCCTTCCGACATCACTGGCTGTCCCTTGTACTGGATAAATCATGGAGGGACCCCCCCAACTCCACCACAGGGCTGGGCATCACCCCCACATTCCCTGGCGCACACACAGGGAGCTGCAGCCCAGCTGGGACAGCTCCCAGCTCCTCCCAGGGGCTTTTTGGGAGCCCTGAGTCCCAGCCATCCCAGCACGCACTCATCCAGCCATGGGGATTGATTCCCTGCTCCATTACAGCTGCAAAAAGCTGAACTACAGCTCTGGGGAGAGGAAAGGAAAACAAACACATCCCCAGCGATTCTATTTCAAACACAAACTTGGAAGAAAACCTGCTGAAACCTGTGGAGCTGCTTCCAGGAGTCCCCAGGCCCCCCCTCCTGCAGCTCCTCCACTCCCAGGATGCCCTTGGTCCAGCCAGGAGGGTCTTGGAGCTGGCACTCCTGTCTGGGACCCTCCTGCCTGCACCCACAGCCCCCTGGAGCAGCACCCCATAGCTCCCAGTGAAGTCACAGTTGGGCAGCAGCAGGAATCAGGGGCTGGGAGGGGACACCTGAGCTGCAGTGGAGCCTCCCAGACTCCTCCAGACCCCCACGACCACCTCGGCTCAGGATTTGTCCTCAGTGTCACCAAGCACCGACCTGTGTCCTGCCCAGGGCACCCAAAGGGCACAGGCAAACAGCAGGACCTGCTGCCACCCGGCCCAGCTCCAGGGACACCAGCAGGAATACACCAAAAACATCCCCAGGTACAGAGCACTCCATGATTCCAGCAGTTCCATCATGGACATTTCCAGCAGAACTGGAAGACACTCCCAGGTGTCCCACATCCCTGGAAGTGTCCAAGGCCAGGCTGGACATGGCCTGGTCTATGGAAGGTGTCCCTGCCCAGGGCAGAGGGTAGAACTGGATAAGCTTTAACGTCTCTTCCAAGCCAAACCATCCCAGGATTCTGTGGTAAGTTTTCCCACACCAAGGCCAAGTTTTCATGGGAACAGCTCCCACCCATGCCCACGGAGGGACCCATCCTGGGGCAGCAGAAGGTGGGCCTGGCTGTCACACTGCAGGCACAGCGGGGTGGAGCAGCCCCTCGCTGGGGGCAGGGAGGTGGGAGCCTTCCCAGGGCTGTGATGGAGAGGGAAATCCTCGGCCAGGATGAGATCCAGGGTGGGAGCCGAAGGCAGGAGCTGCATTATCTCCAAACAGCTTCTTCCAGGCAGCACCGAGGTCCCGGCTGGGGCAGAAGCCAAATGGAGAAGGCAATTAGGCCTCTGGTATAGGAAAAGCATAAATCACTGTGCCCTCAAAAAGCAGGAGCTGGAAGCTTCTCCCAGGCTGCTCCATCCGCAGGGCAAGGACAGGAAACATCCTCAGGATCACCATTCCAGGAGTGTCCTCCTACAAGGAGAGCTGGTGGGGTGAGGGAGCACCACGAGGGGTGATTCCCTCAGTAACTCCATCTCCTGCCACACACACGTGCCAAGACCATCCCTCCAACACCAAAGCAAGTGGAACAGATCCTCAGATCTTCCTGAAATCAATGAGGCTCCTCACAATTCCAATTCCATGTGATTTCCACCCACTGAAGCCAGAGGCAGGGCTGGCCATTGTTTGAGAACATCACCCAGAGAATGGTCCCAGATGGTTTTCCAGCACAGCACATTCCTCTCCTGCAGGCTCTCCAGTGGTGCCCATCCCTGCAGGGCCGGAACACACCGAGATCCAACGTTTTATCCTCAGCAATCTCCAACCTCCACCTTAAACATCTGCATGGCTTAACTCATCCCAGCAGCTTTTCACCCAGGAGCCCCAAAAAAGGGATGTGGTCTCGTGGAAATCCTGGATCCAGGCAGCAACATTCCACTCCCGGGGTGACGATGGGGATCACAGCCCCAGGGGACAACACAGCTCCACCACAGTGACACAGCAGCACCCCGAGCAGGAGACTCAGCACCCAAAGCCTCACCCTCCAGCACAGCAGGAAACTGGTTTTTCTTCCTTTTCTTTAGGCTGTCAACAAATAAATCCATCCAAGGGCTCCGTGAGCTGCGGGAACAGCCCCTCACAGCAGCCCCACTCCGGGGGGGCATGAAAACCAAGGTCAGGACACAACATCCCACTGTGGCCCAAAATAACACTGAAAGGTGTTTTCCTTCCTCTGGTAGCAGGAACCGGTGAGCAGAATCCATGTGGGAAGTCCATGTGGGACAAGGGAAGCCTTGTCCCTCCATCCAGCACTGCAGCTCCAGGGAGTCACCAAGATCCCACCTCGGGGCTGCACAGCTCCATCCCGGCACCGCTGAAGGAGCTGTGTCCCAGCTGGATCACTCCCAGGGCAAGGAGAAGAGGATGAGCCAACAAGCCCAGTGCACATCCCCGGGTGGTGCTGGAGGATCCCCAGGCTCTGCTCCCAGCTCCCTCCGCCGTCCTTCCCATCCGCGCCACTCCACTGATGCACATCCCTCGGGAATAACATCCTGGAGACTCCACGGAGTGGCACAAAGCCCGCCTGGGACTCCATGGCTGCATTTCTTCTCCAGCCCATGGAGCAGTCGATGCACATTCCTCAGGAATAACATCCTGGAGGCCTCGTGGGACTCCACGGCACAGGGGTGGTGCTCACTCGGTGTCCTCTGCTGGAAAGCCCAACTTCCCTCCCCGGCCCTTATTCCAACCCTGGAAAAGGTTGTTTTTAAAAACACACCATGTGAGGGCTTGCTGCAAATATCCCAGGAATGGGCCGGCTACACGAGCTCTCTGGGCTCCTAAAAACTCCCCAGCACCCACAGCTGGGTGCTGATGGCAGGGACAGGACAGGGATCAAGGTCCTGGTCAACGAGTGACACAGCACAAGGACCCGGAGCAGGCTTTCAGAACCAGGGACCCTCCCAACACCTCCCCAGCTGAACCACAAGCTCAGACCTGCTCAGGACGCTCCCCTGGGGCTCCTCATCTGCTGGCAGGACCCCAGAACGGATCCATGTCCCCACATGTCCCAGGACAGCAGCTGGCAGTGGATAAAGGCCCTGCAAACCCAACCCGGGGTGGCAGCAGGAGCCGACAGGGACGCACAGACACCGAGAGGTCTCCTTCCTCCTGGGGTCCCTCAGCACGTGCCAGCCAAAGATGGGGAAGATATGAAGAGGTTATAAATTTAGGAGAAAGCTGGCAAGGAATATCTGGTCCGTGGAGTGGCTTTAATTGGATTATGTACATCATGCTTCATGCCTTTGTTCACCGATTTAATGGTTCACCACTTAAGTTCACCACTTGCGTTAAATTTAGTAAAGTAGTCTAATCATTTCCAGAGCTATAACCAAATCAAGGGCTCAATTTCACACAAGCCTGAAGCAGAGGAACTGTGAGACAATGGCCTAGATGCATAAAATTAACAGTTCTTGACCTCAAAAGGGGCGAAAAAAAAAGGTTTTCCTGATTTGGTGGGTTTTTGTGTGAGGCAGCACCTGCACCGAGGGCTGGGGCAGTCTGGGAGGGCCTCCCTTGGTGGGAGGGTTGGGACAGCAGGGCCACCCATCCCCAGGGACACGGGATCCCCAGGGACACAGGGGTGGGGCTGTGCACACCCCAGTGCTGCCCTCACCCACCCGAGGAGAGCAAACAAACACAAGGGATGTGTCCACATGAGCAACCCTACAATAACAAACCCCTGTGTGCAATGAGGGGAGGAAAAAGAACCCCAAATCCTCTGGGTTTGGTGCCTCGGGGGCACCTGAGCAGGTGCAGCGGCACAGACTGAGCTCCACATCTCCAGGGTGAGCTTGGAACCTCCTCTATAAGGCATGGAAGGACATGGAATCACTGCCTCTATAAGGCATGGAAGGACATGGAATCACTCGTCACCTTCCTGTCAGCAGCAGCCCTACAATAACAAACCACTCCATGCACAGAGGGGAGAGAAAAGAACCCCAAATCCTCTGGGTTTGGTGTCTCAGGGGCACCAGAGCAGGTGCAGCAGCACAGACCCACCACCCAAACCACCTCCAAATCTCTGGGATGAGCCTGGAACCTCCTCTACAAGACATGGAATCACTCACCACCCTCCTGCCAGCAGCAACCCTCCAATAACAAACTGGCATGTGCAGTTTTTTCAGGGGAAAAACCCAAAAACTGTTGGGGTTTTGTGCCTTGAGGGGCACCTGAGCACAGACCCAGCACCCAAACCAGCTCCACAGCTCCAGGACGAGCTCTGGCCTCCCCTACAAGCCATGGAAGGATGTGGAATTGCCCACCAGCCTCCTGCCAGCACCATGTCCCTCCCCAACAAGCCACGGCGGGAGGAGATGCCCATAATTCCTGCTGAAAGTTCGTCAGGAAAGCGATTAAACGGCTGGGCTGGCTGCTTAATGACAGGAGGCACTCGCTCTGATCCAAGGAAGCAATTACCTCGGAAATGGGGGTCACGGGCCCTGCTCATTCACCTTAATTGAATTCCAATATCTGCCTCCAGCTGCCGGGGGCTCCTGCCTGCGGCTCCAAGCAGCTCATCAAAGCCATGGGCTCCCTCCTCCCTGTCTCTGCTCACCTCCCAGCGCTCCACAGTGCTGCCTGCCACCCCAAAACTCAGCTCCCATCCCTGGGCCACTTCCCAAGAGCCACCAACCCCACCACCAGGGATCCATCTGCTACCGAACCTGTCCTCATCCCCAGAGACTGCAGCAGCTCAGAGCCCAATTCTACCTTTGGTGCTACCCACAAAATACAGAAAAACGTAGAGAAGAGCAGGTTAAGTGCAAAGAATTATAAAGATCCTTGTAGCTTAAGAAGTGCAAATAGTTATTAAAAAAAAAAAAAGAGCATTAAAAATGAGCATTTTCTGGAAAACAAAGACCTAAAGCCAGAGGAGCTCTGGAGCCACCTGCCCGGGATGCTGGATGGGGACACCGATGTCCCGGGGTGAGGAGCAGGTTTGCTGCAGGACTGAGACCGTGACATCAATTAAAGGAACAATAAAAATGGTTAATCCTCAAATAAACCCTCCCCCGAGGTCTGCGAGAGAGAGCCCGGCCAGCGGGAGCGGGTCATCAATGCATGGGACAACAACCCTGCCAAGGGCACAGCACATTCCACACCAACAGCCCAGCAGAGACAAGCCTGGGCTCAGGGGGTCAGTGAGGGCTGCTGGGTCCTGCTCTGCACCCCAAACACTGCCCAGACCATGGGGAACATCCAATTTGGTCGCTGGAGGCTCCTGGAGCTGCACCAGCACCCGGGAGGTGGCAGGAGGTGGAGATTCCACCCCTTGTCTCGCTCAATGCCAGACTGGGGGAGTTTTGGTCATTTGGGGGGGCCATGGGATGGCTGGGGGGGTGTGAGCTGCCCTCCTTTATCCCTCCTGAGCGCAGGATTGCCTCTGGTTATGGTAAATGATAGGAATAAAAGGGGTATACACACGGTGAGAGGCAGATTGGGAAGTCCACGTACCCCGATGATAGCATTCAACTCCGTCATTGTCACTTGCTTGGCACGTTCAACAGCCTGTGCCACTTGCTGTTGGTGCTGCAGGGACAGAGGGGCAGGGCCAGGTCAGAGCTGGGCATAGGGGGACCAGCCCAGGGGCAGGACCCCCCCTCCAGAGATGCTCACCCCTCTGTTGGGCTCTATTTTGCTCATGCCCGGGAGCACCTCCCAGCTCCACGGGGTGCAGGGGGGTGGAGAAGACCCTCAAAGCCTTTTTGGAGACCCCCAAGCCCCTTCACAGGGCCCAGCTCTCCCCCATCCCAAGGGTTTTCCAATGCACATGGAGGATCTGAACCCCGTTTCTCACTCAGCTCCCCACCCCCAGGGACCCACGAGGGCCCCCAGCACTGCCTGCCTGGGGAAACCCCCCTGGGAGAAGCAGCAACTCCCCACCCAGGGTGTGAAAACTTCCTTACCTCTTGTGACAGAAAAGGCATGATCTGGGCTAAAATTGTATTCAGTCTTTTAGCAATTTCTGTCTGAAAAAAAGGAAGAAGAAAACCCAACAGTCAGCACCAAACAGCCTCCCACAGACAGCTCGAGGCTTCCCAGAGCAGTGCTGTGCATCCCCTCCCTGTCCCCCTCCACGTCCCTTCCCACATAACCCATTCCCATCCCCTCCCACCCCTCCAAGTGGAAGCAGCAGCTCCCAACAGATGCAATAAAAGCACCTTCAAGCACAGCAGCACAGGGACACATCCCTGCTGCCCTGGGACACTTGAGGCCCCTTCCCATCCTGGGATGAGTGTCACGGACCAGCCCCAGCAGTGCTGCACCACCCTGCACTTCCCTGGCTTCATGAAAACATAGCACTGGCACAGCTCCTCATCCTTGGAGCAGCTGCTGGGGGCTGGATCCCAGAAAATCCAGTTTTTGGTGGCCCTTGCCATCACCTCCCACTCCTGGCACTGTGGTGGGTGTTAAGTTTCTCCAGGAGAAACCCTGGCAGAGACACCAGCGAGGGCTGGGGGTCCCTGCTCTGCTCTCTGCCCACCCCACATGAAGCTGGTGGTGTTCCCTTCGCCATCCTCACATCCCACTCGGGAACAACCCAGACCCACCACCAGCTCCACTGAGCTATTGGGACTGTAACAACCAACTGTGCTGATAACTGGGGGAATAATTAACTGGGAACGCTGCTTTCCTGGAGGAATGCCCCCAGCCCAGAGCTGGAAGGTGCCACCCTCCCACACATGCCACAGACACTCCTGCTGTGCTCCCCCAGCTCCCACCAGGATCACTCAGCTCCCAAGGGTTACCCTGGGATCACTCAGCTTCCAAGGGTTAACACAACATCACTCAGCTCCCAAGGGCTATCCTGGGATCACTCAGCTCCCAAGGGCTATCCTGGGATCACTCAGCTCCCAAGGGTTATCCTGGGATCACTCAGCTCCCAAGGGTTACCCTGGGATCACTCAGCTCCCAAGGGTTAACACAAGATCACTCAGCTCCCAAGGGTTACCCTGGGATCACTCAGCTCCCAAGGGTTAACTCGGCTGCTCCGCCAGGGCAGCTGTGAAAACAGCTCCTGCTCCAAGTCAAACAGGGCCGGAGCAGCCGAGGATCCAGAGCCACAACAATGGCCGGGCCGAGGCTGGCAGGGAATCAAACGCCCAGAAATTCCTTCCGACAGCCCCGAGCAGCTCGTTATCAATAACACAAGTGATTAACCTGGGCTCGCTCCAGCCTCCCTCTTGGCAAGGGGCCTCTTCCCGAGGCAGCCAGCAGTCACTCCCCCTCAGAGAGCCCCCTCTGTGCCCCCCAAATCCATCCCTGCCATCCCAAAGCTTCACCTTCCTGATCCCACAGCTCAGCCCTGAGGATGGGTCCTATAGCAGCTTGGCTTTCGAAGCCCATCCAGCCCAGCTCTCAAGTACTGCAAGGAAAATCCCCAAATATCACAGTTTGGGAGAAAATGCCCAACAGACACTCAGCCCTTGCTGGGAGGAGCTGGGTGATGGCCAGGTCACACTGCTGTGACTACAAGACCAACCCAACAAGCACAACCGACATTCCCAGGATGACCATAAGCAAGGAGACACCAGGAAAACCCTGCTCTCCCCCAGTCTTGAGCCACCTCCATGGAGGGAACAACCCCACAGACCCCAGAACTCGGGGTCCTGCTCCGAGGGGTCCCCACACACCCCCCACTGCTGCTTTTGGCTGCTGAGCCACAGGGATATTTCTGGCCATCCTCTTCTCCGAAAGCACCCCAGTGATTGGGTTACACCTCATGCTTTAATTAGCAATTCCAGAGAGCAGGAGAACGTGCTGGCACACCGTGCCAAGGCAGGAGCACCAGGAGGTGACCAGGGGTTGGACTCAGGTACCCCCAGCTACAGCTACACCAGTCACCAGGGTTATCACGGACCCCAACGTGAGGATGCACAGATCAGGAGGTAGCTGGGGCTGATGGAATCCTGGAATGGTTTGGGTGGGAAGGGAGCCTAAACATTATCCAGTCCCACCCCCTGCCCTGGGCAGGGACACCTCCCACTAGCCCAGGTTGCTCCAAGCCCCGTCCAACCTGGCCTTGGACACTTCCAGGGATCCAGGAGCAGCCACAGCTTCTCTGGGCAACCTGTGCCAGGGCCTCCCCACCCTCACAGGGAAGAATTCCTTCCCAAAATCCCATCTAACCCTGCCCTCTGGCACTGGGAAGCCATTCCCCCTTGTCCTGCCACCGCAGCCACACTTCACTGTCGTGACAGCGTGAGATCCCTGCCCCGAGGAACAGGCTCTGGCCAGCACAAGTGTTTAACCACCTCATGCTCACACATCACCCCAGGACCACTCTGCACCCCAAAAATGGGGCTGGAAGCTAAAACTGCCCAAATCCAGCCCAGCCACAGCACCGTGTCCGAAGGAGCCAGGCTGGCACCGCGTGTGCCACCAGCCAGCCCAGCGCTCCCACCACGCGCTGCCCAGGCAGAGCAGAAGCTCTTTGAAGGCTTTTTGGCACTGAGGCATCGATTAGATTATATATAGACTGCAGCTCCATTAAATATTTATTCCTTCAGCTGAAGCCCATTGGATTCTGGATGCGACAAGCCCGGCTGCTGCTCCTGTGAGTTCCAGAACAAATTCCACCCTTATTTGAGGTGAAAACAGCGGTGCCAGCACGAGCTTCCCTGGGCTGCGTCGCAGGGGTGGGGTCGGTGTGACAGGAAAAATACAGCACCCAAACAGGCTGATGGCAGGGAGGAGGAAGGGAAGGTGCTGGGTTTTCCCCGGGAATCACACGGTCCAGGCTCACAACAACCCACCTCCTCCACATTTAAATCCATTTCTGCCCAAACTTCAAACAAAGATTTTCCGCAAAGGGAGAGACTTCCCACATGGGACTCAGTGAGCAGAAAGATATTAGATGTCCAAAATATTATGTTTACAACCGTGAGGTTTCCTGCGAACATGAGATTCAATAGTCTTTAAATATTTGTTCACTTTAACTTTTCCCATTCCACAGAATATTAAACTCCGGTTGTCCCCATTAAAAGTTTAATCGGGAGCGAAAGGGGATCCTCCGGCACGTCGGGAACAGGGAAGGGCTTCATGCCCGACACCTCCCCCATAACAGGGCTCATTCATCACCTTCCCAGAGTGACAGAGCCCCCCGGAGCTGCTCCTGCCAAGAAAAACCTCCATTCCCCACGGCAGGTTGCCATGGCAATCCCAGGCTCTGCATCCCCTTCCGATGCCCTGCATCTTCCCTGGACCACAGTTGCAAATGAGTGGGGATAAAACACCCTGGGGAGCGCCCAGGAGAGGTACCCACCCACCCAAACCCCCACGGGAGGTGCTCAGTGGGTGCTGGGTGCCTCTCCCGGGGTCCGTGGGAGCACCTTCAGGGACACTCACCCGGGCACAGAGATGCTGATGGGCGTTAAAAAGGGCAAGAGGTTGGAGAACCTGAAATCCTCAACTAACCCCCCATCACCCCCTGCCCCTGCCAAGAATCTGACCTCCTGCCTGAGCAGAAACACTTCTGGGCTGGTGTTTCACCAGCACGGAGGGGGAAACCAGAGAAAACATTTGCACTGGTGATAAATCAAGAGAGGGACCGCTGGGTCCTGTCACCCCACCCGCTCTTAAAATGGCCAGAGCCACCACCGGCACCCAGAGCTCTGGAGGGCACAAGGAGCTGCTCCTGGCAGCCTGTCAGGAGGTAGGATGGGGCTCTGGGAGCAGGAACAGGCTGGCATGGTGTTAAATAGCTCAGGGCTGGCTCTGCCCAGCAGCTCCGGCCCCACGGCCGCTCGTCTTTACACCTGGATGTGGCAGAGGGAAGTTTAAAAATAACCCTGTGGCCCGTCAGTCACAGGAGAGGCAGAGCAGGGCTGAAAGGAGCTGCCTCAGAAATGACCCAGAGCACAGGAGGGCAGAATTCCAGGCTGGAAGCTGGGGGGTCCTGCGTGATACCCCACGGATACTGCTCTGGGTGGTGGAGCCAAAATACATCAGCCTTGGACACAGCTGAGGAGGAAAACAGGAGCTGCAGGGATGCCCCAGCCCTGGGGATGCACCCCCAGGCTGGTCCCAGCATTCCTCCATGGCACAGGATGGGATCCAAATCCCTCCTGGGCTCCCAGTCCTCGGGAGGATGGAGGTGCCTCATAAAACAGCCCCACAACCACCACTCTGAGGGGAACACCCCCAAAGACCCTGCACAAAGCACCCCAAGACATCCTGCACAAAGCACCCCAAACCTCTGTAGGGAAGGGAATCACAGCAGTGCACACCAGGCCACGGCAGACAGAGCCTCAGAACAGATTTTGGGCCACAGCAGCCCCAGTTCCACCTGCCCTTGCTTATGGATTTATATGTCAGGATGAAGAATGAAGAGAAGGGATGAACACACAGCACTGCCCTTCCTCCTCTTGGAAAACACCCCAAAACATACATATCTATATCACAGACTATCCTGAGCTGGAAGGGACCCATAAGAATATCCAGTCCAGCTCCTGGCCCTACACAGACACCCCAACAATCCCACCCTGTCCCTCAGAGCGTTGTCCAAACGCTCCTGGAGCTCTGGCAGCCTTGGGGCCGTGCCCACTGCCCTGGGGAAGTGCAAATGTATGAACACACACATGTATGAATATACACACACCCCCCAAATGCCTAAAACCCTGGAGCAGTGGGGTTGGTGGGGCTGCCAAAGGTGATGGTCTGTGGGATGCAGAACATGGCACCAGCACCATCCCACCATCCCACAACACTGCCACCCAGGAGCCCCCAGCTTCTCCTGGGCTCCCAAACCACAGATCCCTCCACACACACCCCCAATATTGTTTCCAAGACGGGTCTGGACCCCCCAGCCCTCCTTTAGGCACTCCAGGACACCCCCTCCCGTGCTGTATAGCCCCCCCAAACCTCCTCCCTGGCAGAGGGCGGAGGGAGAAGCAGGAGTAAATCACACCAGCCGTGAAGCACCAGCAGCATTTGTTGAAACCAGGATATTGTCTCTTTAAGCACATGAAAATAAGGCCCTTGAGCAGTGTGGTTCTCACTCCGGCGCACAATTATGGGTACTTTCAGCTGTCTACCACTATTTCAAGTGCTCTCTCCAACCGGGCTGTCAATGGCATGTTGAAAGCTATTTGTGGCTGCTATCGTTATTAGCAAAGTGGAGAGCCAGGCTGATGAGAATTAAATCAGGAGGGGGGGTGGAGGGGCAGGACACAACCCCTCATTACGGAATTACCACCGGCAACCGGGATGTGGGGGGCAAAGCCCACTCAGACCCCCAAAAGGCACCCAGCACCCCCAAAATCCACCTGCAGAGCCGAGGGGAGGGAGAGGTGAAGCTCTGACAATATTCCCTTCTACCTTAGGAGACCTGAGAGCAGAGCTAACAAATTACTTGGCTTCTGAAGTATTTAGCAAATTATTACCTGGCACTCCTTGCTAACGAGCATGACAGAAAGTATATTGTGTTCCTAGAATATTCTAGAGAAAAAAAAAAAACCTGCCTCTCTTCCCTGGAAGTGTCAGGGGGGTTTAGGTTTGTTCCAAGCATTAAGTGTTTAAGCACGAAAACAAGAAGTGCTTATGTGGAGGGTTCTCAGCCATAAAAAGAAATAAAACCCAGCACAAAGGTTCTGTCCTCCGAGGTGTCCCGTTTCCCCACGCAAAATTAGTTTTTCTTTTGGAATGGTTATTGCAGTCGGCGATTATCCACGGAGATCTGCACAGAAACAATGCAAAGCCAACAGGGGAAGCAAAGTTTCTTTTGGAAAAATCAATTAGCCCTAAGAAGGGGAAAAAAAAAAAAGTTTTGCCGGGGTTTCAAAAGAAAACTCATGATTGGACTCGGGTTTAAGAAAGCTGAGCCCGGGTAAGGGAGCTTAGTTCAGCAGGAAGACTGATGTAAGGAGCGATTCACTGCAACCAAGTCACTTCCTAAATATTTCCTTGCATATGGAGTTGTTTATGAAAGTACATTTTTTTACTTAACAAGAAACAAAACGAGAAGAAAGGGGGGAAGGAAAAAAAAAAAAAACAAAACAACACAACAACCCCACACGCAGCCACATATGCACACACTTAATATTCAGCGTAGAAGAGATAATCTGTTATATAAGCCCACAGACAGACAATCCCCTTTTGCTTAAAGATGAAGTATCCATCAATGTTTGTCTGGAGCAGATGTAATCACAAGCAGTCAAGTCTGGAGGGTAGGACACTGCATGAATAATTCAAGCACTTCAGTCTACTTGATTGTGTGCAGATAAACACAAGTCAACCGCTAAACAGGTCAGCTGATAAACTTGTTTGTTCAGGACCAGCCACCCTCAACCAGATGCAGGCAGGACCACGCCGCAATTAGCGGGATGCCTTGCGGGGGGATGCTGCGGCAGGGATGGCTTTCGGGGGGATGCTGCGGCCCGAAAGAGGGGGAAAACCCTCGGCAGGCCCCCGCTGCGGTCCGGCTCTCCCATCCCGCCGCTCCCTCTCGCCCCATTTTCGCCTGGAAGCGCCGCTGGGAGCAGCTCGCGGGGCTTTGTTTTCCTCCGGCCCCGCGCGCTTTGCTGTCAATTAAATAACGAGGCGGCTTCGCCTCCCAAACTTCGCCGAGCCCGGCGCTCGGCACGCAGCACATGTCACCGGGAGCGGGCAGGGATGCTCGGCACAGGCTGGAACCATCCGGACGGGATTTATCCGCTCCCCTGCAAAGCTCCCAGCGAAGCACATTGACCACGCCGGGCCTCCCAGGACACCACCACCACCCAGAAACTCCCAGGGCACAAAACCATCCCTGGGAATTCCGGGGCTCCTCAGTCACCCCCCAAAACCACCACGGACACATCAAGGGAAGACGCCCTACGTGGTCATGGTCAGCGGAGCGGAGGATCCATCTGCACCTCCCAAGGGTGCCAGACCTCACTGATCCCTTGGGTTCCATCCACGGACCGGTGGGAAAACACACTGCACATCTCAGGAACGGCAACTCCTTCCAAAGCTTCCATCAAGAGAACAAGCCCAACATCTCCGTGCATTATTCCAGCATCTCCCAGCATCACTCAGAGCGGAGCCATTCAACACAGAGCAACCAGCTGGGAAGAGGCTCTTCCTCTCCCCAAAGAACCCGTGTTCACGTTACTCCAGTGCCTCCAGGGTCACTCCATCCCTCGGGCATCGCTCCAGTCCCTCGGGGCGTCGCTGAAGCGGCCGCAGGGTCCGTGTCCCTCTGGACAACCGTCCCCTCCTCGCGGGATTCCACCACGGGCCTACACAAACCCCCTGTGTTCTGGGGGATTCCCGACCTCCCCAGGCCAAACCGTGCCCGAGGCCTCCCCCAGCACGGGGGTCCCGGCCCCTCACAGCCCCCCAGGGCTCCCCCTGGGCCGCCCTGCCCCGCCTGGGTCCAGGCAGAGCCACCGAGAGCGGGCGAGGAGTCGGGATTATCTGCACGGGAGAAGATATTTTTAAAAAAACTGAAGACTAAGCAGGAATTATTTTCGTTGCCCTGTGACTGCGCCGCAGAAAGGCAAAGGGAAGAAAAGAGAGGCAGATTCAGAGACGCTGCTTTGCATTTCATCAGCTCCCAGCGACGCGGGCGATGCTGCTATTAAGCAAAACCACTTTGGAGTTGAATGGGGCTGATTTGCGAGCGGCAAAGTTGATGTCAACTCCTATCTGCCTTAAGTTCTTAATTAGAACTCCTTCTAAAACCAGTAAGCAGCAGCAGCACAAATAATCAGGTCTAATCTCAATAATAACTTTATTCCTTTAAGTTTTACCATCATGTGCGCAGCCTTTAGGCTCTTTAACGATAATCTTATCAAGGTACCACACCACATTCTGCTGGGGCCTTCTCTATTTTTTCCTTCAGGCAAGTTACATATTAGAGGAGACTGGAAGGGAGGAAAAAAAAAAAAAAAAACAACCAACCCCAAACATTGCTTCATTTCCCAGATGCAAAGACAAATCCGTGACATTGAGCAACACACCGTAAGCTATGGGAGCCCTGGAGATAATTCCCTCCTCAGTCTCACGCTACAGCGCGGAGGAGATCAGGGTATGACCTTAGAAACAGTCCTGTTGTACCAACAACACAACCAGAGGCAATCGCAGCACACATCAGTGTTTTCCCAGTTTTGGGAACGCGCTATTCCAGGTACCGACATCCCGGCACAGAAGGCAAGGCTGTTCTCACCCCTCCGCATAAACACTCCGCTTAAAACCCGAATTTCTCAGCAGCACAGACAAAACACCAACCTGCCAACAACCTGCAGTTCCCAATTCAACTGCCAGGCCACGGGATTCCCACCTGGAGTCACATCCCTGCCTTCAGCACTTATTCCCTATTTAGTGCAATCAGGGCCCATTTTACCTCAGGTTGAGGAAAAGGGCAACAGGAGATCAATCAATCCCAACTTCCCCCCCTGGAAATTACTCACCTGTTTGTGCATTTCAATGTTCAAACCGTAGGACATTTCGTAGTACTGGGGAATAAAAACATACAAATAAATTCAATTAAAGAAGAGAGCCAAGAAGAATTTGAATTAACTTCACAGAAGGTATTTGCATAAGGTCATTACCAAAAAGCATCCTGGTCAAAACTGGGCTTAAAGCACTGGTAGCCAAGGAAATTACACCTTATAATAAGCAGATGTTTATGGGTTTAACTGGCAGGCACTTAACAAGGGGACACTCCTTTTGACTCCTGTTTTCTCCTCCTAAGCTACTTAGAAAAACAAAGAGGCGCAGAGCTGGGTGACAGGCGTCTGCTCAGCCCTGGCAGAACAGGTACAGCCCGGAGTCTGGCCAAAATTCCAGCTTCTCACTGGGGGGGTGGATTTATTCCCCCCCCAGGGGCCAATGGAGCTGCTGGGAGCCCCGGGAGCCGCTGGGAAAGGGGGTGCTGGATCCTGCCGAACCCAGCAGAAACCCAACCGAGCCCACCTGGGGGCCCCGCGACGCAAATCTGGCTAAAAAAGAGGGGTCTGAGGCAACAAAAGAGCCCATTTCCCTCGGGAAGGATGAGCGGGGTGAGCTGGGATGGCTCCCGGGTGGCCTCACCCCGCGCCTCGGAGCAGCAAGGGGGGGACCCCCATCACGCCGAGGGACCCCCCCGGAGCCCGGGGGCGCTGCTCCAACCCCCCCCCAGCCCCCCTGGAGCGCTACAAAGGGGTTAACAGGAAACTTGGGACTGCGCTTCCAGCCGTCTGGGGCTCCGTGCGCCGGGCACCGGGCACCCCCCCAGCGCCTCCGGGGGTCCCCGGGCAGGCAGTGCCCGTCCCGGGGGGGGTCCCCCGGTCCCCCCCGTCCGCAGGCTCCCAGCTAATGACATTTACAGGCTGATCCGAAATCTGATTAAAGTCTCTCACCATAACGTAATGGCGCTGCATTTCGGTCTTCTCGTTCGCCAGCTTGTCATACTCCACTTTGAGGCTGGGGGGGGAGAGCGGAGGGTGAGACCCCGCGGGCGGGGGGGGCCGGGCGGGGCGGGGGGGGCAGCCGGGGGTCCCCCCGGGCTCACCTGTGGTACTGGGCCTGCAGGAACTGGAACTCGTCCTTGATCCGGTCGCAGGACTCGGCCACGGTGAATTTGAAGCCCGGTTGGCCCGGCTGGTGCGGAGCCTGCGGGGGGGGGACCGGGGGTCGGTTACCGGGGAGTGCGGGGGGGTGGTACCGGGGGGATACGGCGGGAGG